GGAACAATATTCAGAGAGGTTTATGCAATCTTTTCACTCAGGTTGACAACACAAGCCTCTAAGCAAGCATGAAGTCCTGAAAAGTTTTATTCTTGCATCCAAACTTCACACTAATTTCAGTTAGATTGTACATTTTGAACAGACCCCGCCCCCCACCCCCGAAGTCAATATATTTACTTTTGATATTCAGATGTACTTCATGATATTTTATAGTATATTTTTTCAGGGAAGTGTGAAAGAAGTAGGAGTTTCATGCCCTGGTATTACAGAAACAATTTCTAGTTGACTTACTGAAAGAAACTGATTCTGAACTTAGAGTTTAGCTATTCCATATGAGTTGTTACAGCAATTAAAAATGGGACAAAATTATCAAAGATTATCTTGAATAATTTCCCAGCTCTTGAGTTAGTAACACAGAAGACAAATAATTTATTTGGGTTCTTATTCAAATGATTGATTAAAATGTAGATTTAAAAAAGCGTCCAGCTCTTCCATTAATACAACAGATCACATATAAAAATATTGTAGAAATCTTGTATATGTATGTGTGAGTGTGTGGGCTCATACAACCAATAGGGATGTTATGTTTTTCTAAAGCAGGGGTGGGCAATTATTTTGGGTGGAGGGCCGCTTGATGAGTTTTGGCGAGCTGTTGAGGGCCACATGGGTAGCCCCACCACCTGCTCACTCTCTTGGGACCAGAAGTTCTGCCCCCTAACTCCTGACCTTTGGCACTGGAAGCCCCTCCCTGGAAGTACTTCTTTTGGAGAGGTGGCCTTGGAACCTGACCCCTCCCACAGGCAAGGACCCAGCCCACCCCACCAGGTCCCAGACATTAAAAGCTTCCTAACCCCACCACCCATCACTGGTGCCAGCATGACCTGGTCCTGACCCATCCCAGCCCATCTCCCCCTCCCCCTCTCCCTGTGGTGCAGCAGAAGCCAGCCCAGGCCCAGGTCCCCTCACCAGCACGGCACCCTCCAGTGCTGTGGAACCCCTCCCATACTTAGCTGCAGGGGGCTCAGCCACAGCTTTCCCTCCCCAGTGTGGCCCGGCCAGCCCATCCCGTCCCCTGTCAAGTGGTGGCTTCCCCACGTGCTGCTGCACTTTCCCCCTACCTGCGTCAGCTGGTCCCAAAAAGGCAGGAGGCTCCACCACAGCTTCTGCTGGCCAGTGCTGACCCAGCCGGGCATCACTAGCAGCACGTGGGAAGTCAGCTTCAGCCACATGCTGCTCTGAATGGGATGGGCCCAGCTGGGTTGGCACCGGCCAGGAAAAGCGGCATGCAGCTCAAGCATGCTGCTGGGGACAGGAAGAGCCCAACCAGGTTGGCACCGGCCAGCAGAAGTGGAAGTGGAGCTGTGTGCTGCTCAGGACTGACAGGCACAGGTAGGGGGGAAATGCAGCTTGAGCCCCTGCTGCTCTGGCCAGGCTCGCCCCATCCCAAGTGGCACATGGCTCCACCACTGCTTCTGCTGGCCGGTGCAAACCTGACCGGGCTCCTCCTGTCCCCAGCAGAAAGTGGAAAGCCAACTTCAGCTGCATGCTGCTTTTCCTGGCCGGTGCTGACCTGGCTGGGTCCGTCCCATCCGGAGCAGCATGTGGGCAGCAGAAGTGGCAGCAGAGCCACGTGCTGCTTGGGACAGGACGGGACGAGCCCGGCCGGAGTGGCAGGGGCTCAGCTTCATTTTCCCCCTACCTGCACTGGTCAGTCCCAAGCGGCACACGGCTCTACCACTGCTTCTGCTGGCTGGTGCCAACCAGGCTGGGCTTGTCCCATCGCCAGCAGCACATGGGAAGCTGGCTTCAGCTGCATGCTGTTCTGGATTGGACGGACCCGGCCGGGTCAGCACCCGCCAGCAGAAGCAGCGGTGGAGCCATGTGTCACTCGGGACTGACCAATGCAGGTAGGGAGAAAGTGCAGCTGAGCCCCTGCTGCTCTGGCTGGGCTTGTCCTGTCCCAAGTGGCACGTGGCTCTGCTGCCACCTCTCTTTCCTGGTGCTGACTGGGCTGGAGCTGCAGCCCAGCTGCTGCTTCCCCTCCCCAATGCGGGCCCAGCCCGACCCCCCACAGCCGGAGAAGCATGGCACAGGACAGGGAAAGCCTGCTCAGCAGCCACTTTTCTGGGCTTACCTGCAAGGCAGGGCCCTTTCCAGTCCCGTGCAGCAAAGCAGAAGCTGGCCCAGACAGTTTTTCCCCTCACCAGTGCCACAGGTTCTGGTCCAGCCCCCCCTGCCCCTCTCAAGCTGCAAACCTGGCCTAAGCCAGGGCCAGAGCGAGGCTAGCTGGGTCAGGCTGAGGTCAGGGTCGGTTGCCTTGCAATCAGAACCCAAGTAAACAGCCTGAGGTGCTGCAGCCGGCAGCTGGTGCTGCTGGAGGCTTTTAGAGAGGCAGCCACCATTACCTGGGTTTCAAAGGGGTTGCGTGGGCCGGAGGGAAGTGCATGGTGGACCAGATCTGGCCCGTGGGCCATATTTTGCCCACCCCTGTCCTAAAGGATATAAGGACATGTGGTGCCAAGTCAAGATTTGCTGCAGCATTGAATTTCAGCTTACTCAAAGCACATTATCTCAGCAAAACATATCCTTTCTTGTCTAAATACACAAGTGACTCATACCACTTATTATTTTGTAGGTTGATGTAAGAACAGGTTGTATGTACTCTTGTCATGTCATGAGTAATGTGCAAAAATAACCCATTCCCAAATATTACTTTGCCAAACAGAATGTATTCACTCATGCTATTTACTTGTTTGAAGTGAGGACTGCTTTTATCTCAATACAAATTCTCCAGTTTGCTTTCATGTCTGTAAAATGCACATACATTATTTTTATTAGGAACAGTCATAGTGCATGTGCTGTTATCTGGTTTTGTCATAGAATCATAAAAACATAGCCCTGGAAGGTCCACAGGATGTCATCTATTCCAATCCTTGCTTGTCCCTCTCTCAAGTGTTTGTTTAACCTGCCCTAAAAATCTTCTAAGGATAGAGACTCAACAGTCTATCAAAGTGCTCTGTTTCAGTGCTTAACTACCTTTATATTTGGAAGCTCTTTCTAATATCTAATCTAAATTTCTGTTAATGTACTTTCAGACCTCTGTTTCTTGTCCTGGCCCCAGTGAACACAGAGAAGAGTCAATCACCCTCCTCTTTATAAGAACCTTTATGCACCTGAAGACTGTAAACACATCCCACTTCAGTCTTCTCTTCTCCACACTAAATAATTATGGGGGTTAAAACCTTTCCTTCTAAATCACATTTCCTAGACCTGTAATAATTTTTGTTGCTCTCAGCTTGTGGTTCACTATAATGTCCAGGCCTTTTTTCACAGTAGTCAGGCCTTGCCACTTATTTCCCAAGTTCTTGTGCATTTTATTGTTTCATCCTGAGTGCAGGACTTTGCACTTGCACTTGTCCTCAGTGAATTTCATCTGACAAATGGAAAGCATAGTCTGAAAATAATCAAGTGTAGCAGGCTCACCTTTCAGAGCTTGGGTTGAGTCCCAGGCTTGAGATCCTGCCACCAATCAGGAGGCAGCAGGAGAAATAAAGTCACGCCCCTTTCCTGAGAGGTGGGGGAAAAGAACTCCCCCAGGCCTGATTGAAGACTGTAAACTGTCAGGTCTGGAAGACTTCAGGGGCGGAGCCCTGGAGTGTATAAAAGGATCTGCATGCCAGCACGAGGGGCAGATGCAGCGAGGGACTCAAGAAGAGTGGAGCCAAGAAAAGCTGGGGAGCTCTCCTTCAGCAGGCAATAGGCCCAAGGCTCCTGAAGCTGCCACTGGAGGAGCAGCCTTGGGAGTGGTGCGAGATCGCTCCGGCTGTTGACGGTGCATAGGGATGGTGCACAGACACCCGGCCCTGGGAGCGGTGTGAGACTGCTCAGGCCCATCAAGGTGTGCAGTTTGGTGCATGGAGCCCAGGCTTTGGGAGCCACAAGCAGCAGCTCGAGCATACAACCCCGGCAGGGCCAGCAGGCCATACAGTGTGCAATGTGACATTTTTAAAAGCCCGTACATAATTACACTTTCTTAGTTATAAAATTTCATTTTAACTTACATCTTCTTTCCACCCCAATACTTTCTTTCAAGAAGTTTTATTTAAATCTTCTCACCTACTGCCTTCATATGTTTTAAATATTCTTATTTCATTCCTTCTGCCTTTATTCAGGTTGTGCATACACACTAAAAAATACTGATTTTGAATTCACTCTTCATTTTTAGTTTGTGCAGTATAATCTATACCCACAAGATTTAATACTAAACAAACCCACATGAGAACTACTAGTTGATGTGTGTTAATCCATGTGAAGACTTAAATCTAGCAATATTTTCATATTGTTGGTTAGGTTTTGAAAAATTAATACATTAGACTAGCCGCAGAGTTATTTTCATTTTTTAATAATAATAAAAAAAAATACTAATCCTGTGATATATTATAAGTAAGGGGTTCTGGACATCTTGTGAGATATTTCCTTAGAATTCATTTCAGGGGATCTACTGAATATGGGCTTGAGATGAACTCTGTGACATAAGATCATTTACATAAAACATGGTTATGAATCACCCTAAAATCAATTTTGCATTGTGACTGTTAAATTTTCTGGGTAATACTGGAACAACTGTGCTGCTTCCTGCTGTATTTAGTGTTTTATATGACGTATAATATAAATAAGAAAAAAGAATTATACCTGGTTTTATCTAAATTTGATGTACTTGGATATTAATTAACATTGAATGATAAACATTTTAGAAACACAGAAGATTTAAGTAATTATTGTTTTTGGATAGTTTGTTCTCTGACTCCTTTTCCTGTTGCAATACTTACAAACATTTAAAGGTTCTAGTGGGGAAGGTCATGATCCTGCAGTTTTTGCTCCATTAGGTTTACAGATTACAACACACATTTCCATTGTGGCATCTGCTTGTTCTACAGCTTTCATTAAAAAAAACCATGTTAATTATATCCACTGGGACACTTTCAAAGACTTTTGCTTACCTTCTTCAGGGAAAGAATTCCTTCTCGTGTCTCTCTGTCAGTGGATATGGAGAACACGCCAGAGCCATCACTGTTTATGATGGTGTACTTCATGTCTGCATTCGATCCAGTGTCTGCATCATTTGCTTTGATTTTGCCTACTGCTGATCCAACTTGAGCTGATTCAGGAACATACAGCTGGTAATGTTCTGGGGGAAAAAAAGAAAAAAAAAGATTGGTGGATATTTGTACTCAATCTAAAGAGTAGAATTTCAAAGTACTCAGCAGAAACCCATCATATCTACTAAACAAAGAACACAGTTTGCTAGAGAAACTGACAGTTTCTAATTGCAGAACTCAAACCTATTTGTTATATTTACATGCGAATAGATCTATACATCATCTGAATTCAAGCTGCTAGGAGAAATAAATTTCTTACTTAGATTCCTGAATACATTTAGACTAAAATTTGGATCTCAGGGAGTTATTTGTTCAAAACACCAATTACTTTACGAAACATTCAAAAACTGAAGAATCTTTTGTTGTTGTTTGTTGAACATGAAATCTTGATGTTTCACTGGAAGATTATTTCAAATTTTGGTGCAATAATTTATTATATTTAGTCAGTGACAAAAATTATAAACCATAATTTTTACCTTCAATAATTTACCATCAATAACAACCATATTATTATTAATAATTTTATTATTTTATTACAGAGTCTACAGATCTCTATATGCCATGGCAAAGATTACGCTTTCCATTTAAATCATTTGTTACTGCTGAACCTGCAAATTTTTCTTCCCACAGAGAATCTTAATAAGCTCTTGATATTTTGCCACTGTTACTGGGTATTGTACATGTTGCACAGAAAATGGAAGATTCCCTCAAGGTAGGCTCTGTGAAAGAAAACTCTAAATTTGCCATCAGCAGAATCATACCTCTCCATCAATCCTGGTACAGGGAATGCATTAAAAGCATGATATGGTTGGGTGGGGCTGCAGCATATAGTATTGTGGAAATTCCAGGCAACAGTGCAGTCAATTCGGAGTCATGAGAGACTGCTGTAACTTGGACAAAGTATCTAAGCTTCACTGGAGAAGAAAAGGGCCATGAATGAGGGCAGTTCAGCCCAAGGCAGCCTAGCATCAGAAATGCACACAGATGTCTTATGAGGCATCAAAGGCTCTATTTCTATTTCACAGAATATTTTAAAAGCATTTTTGAAGATCAACTTAGTAATAGGCCATAGGGCTTTCATCTCTAGGACACCAGGTCAAATCTTTTCTGAGTTGACAGTGGCACAGTCATTACCATCTGAAGACATATTGCTAGTATATGAGATGGTGTGGTGGTCCTTGCTACGTTCCCAGTAAAAAAAAAAAATGTTCACCTCATCAAACACATTGGGACAGTTAGGTTCTACTCAATATGCTTGCTGCCAGCCTAAGCAGAAGGGCTGAATCACAAAGGAAATTTCACTGCCTTCACACACATTTCAAACAGGACTGAGGACAAGTGAAAAAAGACAGTATTGCTTCCTGCCAGTATCACAGGATGTCATGGAAACCATGTTTCAAAACTGACTGCATTTTTGTGTAGATGGTAGGAACATACGGTAAGGACTGTATGAAATTACTTAAGAGATACAATAAGCCCTTATACTTCACTGTATGAAGCAACCTCCAACTCATAGTGGAAGGAATCTCAATGAGAAAGCTATTTCACAGCTACCTACAACTGCTTCTCAAATTTTCTTGAAATGCTTGTGGAGCTACCAGCTGCCATACCCACCAGTACATATCTACAATGGATCTAACACAGCACAAGATATGATTATACAGCAGAAGTTGTGTTAACCGGCACCTTACAAGCTGGCATGCTCTGTTAACCAGCATCCCAATTAGTAAGGGCTTGTAAGGGAAAAGTGAAACTGAAAGTACCCACTGTGGCACTTCCGGTTTTGCGGAGCCCCCATGGCCCAGGGAAAAGCAGCCTGTGCTGCCAAGCCCCCACGGTCCAGGGGCATAGCAGGCTGCATGGGGCTCCCCCCTCCCTGTCCCGCATTGCCCACGGGGCCCACAGGAGGGGCCTCAATGTGGTGGGAGGGGCGGCATCATCGGGACAGGTGGTGGCCAGAGCAGGCAAAGATGCCTGTTCGGGCCGCTCAGTTATCCGGCATATTTTGTTATCCAGCACCCTTCATTCCCGTGGGTGCCAGATAACAAAGCTTTTACTGTAACAAGTATTATCATAGCCAGACCAGCTGTAATCTAGCTATCCAGGACAACAGAAACAGTGTCAATATAGCAGGGTCTGGCATGTTCAACAAACCAGTGTGAGCATGCAAGATCCCCAGAAGTTTAGACATCTTCACAGTCATTTGTTACACTAGGTACATCAACCTAACATGTATCTGCTAGCACGCACAAAAATCACACCGTCATTTTTCTGTGTAAACATAAACCTAGGTGTACCAACAATCTGATGAGGCATGACAATGATTATGCTTCTACAGGAGTACCTGCTTTGTGTTTTCATTTTGCAGAATTGTCAAGCTGATTATTTCTATCCTTGCCCTTGTTTTACTATCATATAAATGTCCCTATGGACTCACCAAACTTTTTACATATTAGTCTGAAAAAGGTGCAGTATAAACATAAACAGAAGCTGAATTCATAGCCTCTCTCTCTCTCTCTCTCTCTCTCTCTCGCTCTCTCTCTCTCTCTCACACACACACACACACACACACACACACACACACACACACACACGTATGTATATGGAAATGTGGATGATATAAATTAAAGTACATGATAATAATTGCAATAGTAACAATAATAACAATAATAATGGTAAATGCAGTGACAAAGGCTCAGTCTGTTTTTTGAATGAACAGATGTCTCCCAGTTAAAAAAAAGAAGATATTTATGAACTGGTGTCTTGGAGTCTTATCTGCAAAGCTGAAGAATCCACTTTAATGACATGGGAGGCATATACACTAAGAAAAGATTTAAAGTGATAGAGAAAGACCAGGCACCTTGAAATAGTGCCTAGAAGGTAAGAGTATAATGAGATGGTAGAATTTACAGTAGAGGGAGTTTAAGGATTATGGTAACTACTTTATAGAAAAGAAACAGAGAAATAAAAAAAATGTAAAATGGAGGGTGCAAACTGAAGAATGAGACTGACTTCATTTGCCCTGATAAGAAGGCATCATAGTATTACGAGAGTAACCTAAGGTTGTAGGTTGTGTGAAGCTTCAGTTGCTGATTCAATTCAGCGGAGATTCAGCCTGATTTGGCAGCTGAATCTCTGAATCCAAATTGAATCAGGAGACCTTTTAACCTCTCTGAATTGAATCGAAACCCTCTGAATTGATTCAGAGAGCTTTGATGATTTGGACATAGACACAGCTTTAAATGTTTTTTCTATATACCTCAAGGTAGCAGGGGCTCATGAATACTGAGATGCTGGGGCAGATCAAGCATCCCACGGGAGAACGTGGGGGTCCCCAGTGTGCTCAGCAGGGTACCTGGAAGTGGACCAGAAGCACTTCCAGTCCACTTCCAGGTCCACCAGGGATCACGTGGGGACCATCCCCCTGGCTCAGTGACTGGTGCCTCCTGGGTCTGGGAGGGAACCTTGAGTCCCCCTGTGGTTGACCGTAGAGCTGGGAGGGTGTGTGGGGGGGTCCCCCTTGCGCTCGGTGGCAGACCCACAAGTGGACCAGAACTATTTCTGGTCCACTTCTGGCCCCCCCCCCCCCCCCCCCCGTGCTCCTATGGGACACTTCATTCACCCCACCACCACAGCGTTCACAATCCACATCTGGTACCTCGAGGTATGTAGAAAAAACATTTAAAGCTGTGTCTATGGCCAAATCACTGATCCTTTGAATCAGCATCGAATCTTCAGATTCAGATTCGGCCAAATTGAATTGGGACAGTGATCCAAATCAATTAATTGAATCACTATCCCCAGTTCGGGCTTCTGCAGCTCCTGCCTGTGTTTCAAGGTAATATGCATCATCACAGATCCTCACAGGAAGTGAAAGGCTCCATACTAGCTAGGAACTGACTGTCCAGAGGAGTTTTCCATCTATTGAGTCCTCTGTGAAATCCTAAGAACCATGAACTTTCATTTCTACCCAGGAGAACATTTACAATCTTTTCTCCAATGCCTGATGAAGGGTGTTTGTGCCTGAAAGCTTGCAATTAAAGATTTTTTTTTGCAAAAATCTTGTTGGTCTAATAAAAGATATCATCTCTACTACGAGTCCTGATTTTGGTTTTTATACGTCACTTTAACATACAGTAAAATAGGCCACTATGCATTAAAGCACATGGGTACGTGCACCCAAAATGAAGGATTTCTAATACAAATAGGTGCTACTGTTATACAGGCTTGTGAAAATAATAAAAGGATAGGAATGTGGGAAGGATAGTTTTGTGTGATGAACCATGTGGATAAGGAGGCAAGTTGACCCGGAAGAAGTGACGCCGAGTGCTTGTCATAGGCAACTCCATCCTGAGAGGTACAGAAGATCCCATCTGTTGCCAGAATCCCTTGACACGTGAGGTCTCCTGTCTGCCTGGAGCAAGGATTAAGGATGTGATGGAGATGATCCTGGCCATTATCCAGGCCACTGATTACTACCTCATGGTCCTAATCCATCTGGGCACTAACAATGTGGCCAGGAGCAGCCCAGATCACCTGATGAAGGACTACCAAGTTCTGGGGGGGCAAGCTAAAGGAGACAGGGGCACAGGTGGTCTTCTCATCTGTCCTTCCAGTGAGCAGATGTGGACGATGCCATGAGACCTGCATCAGAGAGGTCAACTTGCAGCTTCAGAAATGGTGTCTTGAGGTGGGCTTCGGCTTTTTGGACCACGACCCATACTTCAGGACAAGAGACATGTTTGGGTGGGACGGACTTCACCTATCCCCCAAAGGAAAGCATGTGTTCTCTTTCAGGTTGGTTGATCTCCTCTGGTGAGCCTTTAAATGAGGCTCATTGGGGGAAGGGGAGGATGAGGACAGAGGGAGATGGAACACTGAACAAAGAGTCACCCATAAGAACAGCCCAGCCAAGACAGGGAATAAGCACAAAAAAATACCCAGGTAAGAGACAGGCACAGATAGTCCTAGGAATAGGGGGGCAGTGCATGCATCTTCAGGAGGCCTTAAATGCTTCTACACCAATGCT